AGTTTGTGTAAGACGATATATAAAGTGGTGGCTAAAATTCTTCTTAATAGATTCAAATTTATAATTCCAAAGCTCATTTCTGAAGAGCAAGCAGCGTTTGTGAATGGACGTTCTTTATCCGAGCATGTGTTGATAGCTCAAGAAGTGCTTCACAAATTCAGGTTTTTTAAATCTTCTATAGGTTTGGTTTCATTTAAAATCAATATGGAGCAAGCCTATGACAATATGGGGTGGAGCAATCTGGAGCAAGTTTTAAATACTTTGGCTTTCGTTTGAAGTTTTCAAGGCTTATCATGGAGTGTGTGGAGGATCCCAGGTTTTCAGTTTTGATTCATGGCAAGTCTTCTAACTAGATTAAAGCTAGAAGTGGGTTTCGACGAAGTTGTCCCTTATCTCTGTTTTTATTTATTTTATGCTCTCAATTGTTATCAAATGCTTTGATTCAAAAATGCAATGAGATTGGTATTAAAGTTCATCCTAATTCTCCGAGGATCTCTCATTTGCTTTATGCAGCTGATATATTGATTTTTGCTGAAGCTAATATTAAGGTAGTGAAGAAGATTAGGAATATTTTGTTGGACTTTTGTAGTTGGTCGAGCCAAAAGGTAAACTATCAAAAATCTGCATGCTTTTTGGTAAAGCTGTGAAAGGAGGAAGAAAATTATATCTCGTTTGATGGGGTTTAAAGCTGTTAAAGAGATGAACTATTTGGGTGTGACAATTGCTTTGAGGAGGCTTGTGGCTCCTGATTTTTAGTATATTCCTGATAAAATTATGGGGAAACTTAATGCTTGGGGAACAAATTTATTTCATTAGTTGGGAGATTTACTCTTCTGAAATCTATTATTCTCTCGCTTCCTATTTTTCATTGTACTCACTCTCTTATTCTTAATGGAGTTTTGGCTGAAATTGATAAGGTGTGGAGGGATTTCATTTGGCATAAGCAGGATGGGAGAAAGGGTCTTCATTATGTGAGCTAGGAAGTGCTGTGTAAGCTAATCAAGCTGGGTTGCTGTGGGCTTCATTCTTGTGTAAGTAAGGTGGACCCTTTGAGGGTGAAGTTGGCCTGAAAGTTCCTTAATGAGGCGGATTCTTTGATGTACAAGGTTCTGGAAGCAAGGTATGGGTCTTGGAGTTGGGATTCTGAAGTTAAGCATAGCTCGTCGGTCTCTTGGAGAATTATTTCGAATGGTGCTAAAGCTCTTCATCCCATTGTTAAATGGAAGATTGCAGTAGGTAGCTCTATTAATGTATTCAAGGATGTTTGGGTGTTGGATGAGTGTTTTAACATATAGCCTACATTTGTCTCAACTCTAGAGAGCAATGATATGACTGTGGATAAATTCATTGTGGATGGAGTATGGAATAAGGAGGAACTTTGAAATTATTTTGGAGAGGAATTGATTATGCTGATTTGTCAAGTCCAGATTTCTCCGGAATTGATGAAAGACCAATTAGAACTAAATAATAAAAGCACGGGAAAATTTATTTCTGCTCCATCATTTGAGTTTTTGGTGCATCATCCGATTGAAAATATGTATTGGAGATGGATTAAGAAGGTAAAACTTAACCCACGTGTGGAAGTTTTCTGGTGGTGGTTGTATCATAATGCTATTTCTACCTTTTAATTTCTTGTGCATAGAAGGTTAAGAGATGATAATTTATGTCCTAGAGGGTGTATTGTGATGGAAGATTATGAACATGTGGTAGTGAATTGCTTGAAGCTTATTCAGGTAATTCAAAATTTGTATAAATGGGGCTTATGTATTCCTTCTTTGGACTCATTTCAAGAATGCTGCATTTGGTTGGAGGAATGTGCATCCTAGAATAGGTTTTTGGTTAACCTTTATTGTTATGCTGTTTATCTATGTTGGAAATCTAGGAGTAACGGTGTGTATGGTGGCAAGTAGGATAATAGTCTTATTATTGCAACAAATTTTGTTAGCTTTGCTTCAACCTTATCTTCAGTTGGATGTGAAATGTTAAAGTCGGGTATCTGAGGTGCTAATCAGCCGTATCGACATTTGGTTGGAGAAATGTCCGTCCAAGAACAGGTTTTTGGTTAACCTTTATTGTTCTGCTGTTTATCTATGTTGGAAATCTAGGAGTAAAGGTGTGTATGGTGGCATGTAGGATAGTAGTCTTATTATTGCAGCAAATTCTATTAGCTTTGCTTCAATCTCATCTTCGGTTGGATGTGAAATGTTAAAGTCGGTATCTAGGTGCTAATCAGTTGGATCGGTTGTTCAAGAAATGTTGGCACCCTCCTCCTCTCGATTGGATCAAAGTTAATGCAGATGCTTCCTTACTACCTTCATACAAAGCTAGAGTTGGGGGTGTATTATGTGATCACAAAGGGAGGTTTTTATTGGCATTTGGATTCAGTAGTGTTCATTGGGATGTTTATCGGTTGGAAATGTTAGCTATTAATTCCTTTGATTCGGTCATGAAAGAATGGATGTTGCGTTATAAGGGTATTATATTTGAAGGGGATAATGTTAATTTCATCAAGTTTCTTCAGGATGGTTTAAAGAGGATGGATGGTGATAAGGCTGGCATTGGGATGGAAGAATTTGTTTTCCTTGAAAATTTTCATCATGTTATTTTTAATTGTGTGTATAAGGAATGTAATAAGTTATCTGATGTTTGTGCTAACCTTGCACTTAGTAGTAGATGTTTTTGGGATGATATTAGTATGGATAATATTCCTCATTTTCTTCATTTGTTAAAGCAGGAATGTGATTGTATTGGTAGCTTGTATTAAGGTTTTCCTTTTTAATGCTATTGCTATTGCATCCTTTAAAAAAAATACTAGTAAATATCTTTTTTTTAATCCTATATTAATAAAATATTATTATTTTACTTGTAACAATTTAATACATTGAAAGAGCCATTAAAACTCTGACATTTATTTTGTGAAAACATATAACAATTGAAAATAAATACTTCCCCCGTATTGCGTCACTCTTACTGGATACATTTTTTTTGTTTATGCGGTCATTTAATTTCTCTAGATGAAGTCTGTGTATGTTTGTTAAAGGATAGAAGTGAGTTATAAAACAACTCGGTGAATACTTTAAATTTCCAAATAACAATAACATCATATATCTTTGCAATAATATATATGCTTACTTAAGTATAAAATCAAATAACATCATTTATTAATAATTTATATAATATTTTATCAATTTTTTATAAATAATATAACCATCATAGGAGCCATCGTTTAATTAGTGTCAATTAAGGTATTTTCTTTTTCATTTTTTTAAAAATCTTTTCTAATTTGGGCGGGTGGGTATGTGTTGACTTGTACACTCAAAACACTGGAAAAGACAAAATCGATGATTTAAGCGATGCACGTGTCGGTGTGATGCGTCACTTGAAGGGTCAAATGACCTCTGGTCATCAAACGGATTGTGTCGTTGAGATTAGAGCGTCAAATTCGCCTAAGAGGGAGCCCCTCATAGATGAATCGAGCGAGAACAGTCAAAATTGGCGACCGACACCTGAAATTGAAGTGTGTGACATTGCCCAAATGACATCCGATCGGAAAACAGACTTCACCGTTGTGTTCGACATATCGACGATACCTGAAATGGACTGTAGCTTTGTCCAAAGAAATTTGTTCGATGAAATCGGCTAGTATTTCGAGGAAAATGCCAAAAGATTTAGAGGGAAAACACACAAATCGAGTGGACGCACGAATTTCAAAACATGCAAATTTTTTTATTCTTTTTATAATTGTAATGACATTATTATTATTTTAAAAAAATCAAAGAAAAGAAATCAAAATGCCTCATATTTCCAGTGTATTTGCTCTAATCAAATCCCTGAAATTCCTCGATGCTGAGACCTCTTATCCTGTATACAGTAGCACTATAAGAGTCCCTTGAAGCGCTACTGACCCAACATAATGAGGAAGGCAAGGAGAATGCACTCTATTATATCAGTTGGAGGTTGATCGGAATAGAGATATGTTAATCTCTAATTGAGAAGCATTGTCTGGCATAGTTTTCATAATCCAGAAACTCCGTCACTACATAATTTCTTACAAAATTCTCTTGATATCAAATATCGGTTTGCTGAAGTTTTTGATAATAAGATCAGTGTTGACATGTCATTTAGCCAAGCAGGCAATACTCCTATAGTTCTCTAGCTTTACTTCTCTTCATTCCCATCTTTTCTTTCCTATTTTTCCTATGGTTTTAGCCAGCTTGAGCTCTCCTTTCTCTTCCATCTAAACAGCCACGGAATTTGAAGGAAAAAATGACTTAGTGCTTATATATATGTAATACTTATATAAATGAATTTAATAGGATTTCAAATCCAAAAGCATCCCATCCTTCCATTAAATTGCTGTAACTTCATTCACCGGCAAGTGGTAGAGAAGAATTGCTACAGCTCACTAATGAAGTGCACAGTAAAATTAAATAAATAACTTTAGGAAAATAATGTTAGTATTAATTTAATTAATAAATATTTATTAACTCATAAAATAATATACTTATGTATATCAAAATAATTTAAATGAAATTTAAATTTTCATAAATTTTTTTTTGATAGTTTTTGGGATATGCAAAAAATGAGAGATAATTTTAGGAAAAATTTTATTAATATTTTTGTTTGAAATTTAGGTATTTTAATTTATGTGTGGTGTGGAGCTTCCAATCGGGATTTCATCTATAGAGATTAATCTTTGTCCAAATTAAAAACTGGGGGATTGTGACTTATAATTTTTTTTGGGTTTCTTTTAGTATCCCATCTCTTCATTAGTGAACCTTAGACACTGAAATCCTTTCTCACGTCTTTTGAGAAATCAATTATTAAGTATCTAACTTTGAAAATGCATGATAACTGAAACAAATATATACAAATTTCTGTTAAGTCATATTTTATTTCTTTGTTTCATATTGCACTATAAGAGCATCGTGCTTATTATATTCTGGACATTTCACATGAATGATATTGATTATTGAAGTTTTTCCCTTTTACAAATGCAGTGAAAATCAGAAATGTCCTTCAGTTGCTCTAATGTTTCAAGTGGGAGAGAATGCTTCATATCATAATGTAAGTTCCTCTTGCTTTCCAAATCGTTGGTTTAACATCAAAGAGAAGATTGTAACATAGCCAACTTTGCACGAGAACAAATTCGCGAAATTTATATCCTTTACCTATTGTTAACAATTTATTAATGTTGGCTAGTTATAGATTCCCTACAAATGTATGCATTCTTGAAGATTAGCATATCTATGTTTATAACTACTTGGATCTGCACAAACAACTACACATTGATTGCATACTGATTAAACATCTTTTGTTAGATGGGAGGATGCAAAAATTTACGTGGATCATGCAACAATATGACTTGTCGTGGTCATGAAGTCGATATCATGCATTTCTCCATTGGAAATGCGATTCCGGGTCGGCTTTATGGTGCCAATCTGGTTGACAACAGCGAGGGTACTGGTGGTGATAGGTATGCTTCAAGTTTTTTTTTTTTTAATTTTTTTTTTAAATTTTTAATTTTTTTAATTTTAATTTTTTTATTTTTCATAGTCGAGGTAACTGTTTAAGCTATTGCACCATACTATCTTTTTGTGTTCTTTACAGATTTGGCCATCTTGTTGATGTATATGCATGGAATCCGCATTGCTTGTATCTTGATGGAAAGGGTCCCTCAGGTACTTGATGATTTTAAAATTCTACTGGATATACGTTGATGTACCAAAACATAAAGTTTACATGTATTTGAGCTTAGTTTTGTAACATTATTCTATGTTCTACCAAATGAACTTAAGATGGATGAGTTACTTGTTCTGCATGGTTGTAAAACCATGGAGGATTTCATGTGTGGTGTAGGAATTTATTTTTAGCATTTTCTATATTAATTGAAAATTTCGTATGACAAGCTTCAGAAGAGTAACCTAGAAGCAACATATTTAACATGTAGGGGTTGCATAAGTGATGCAGTGATTTGTGACGTGAGTTTCTCAGACTACTTAAAATTGTGATATGCAAGCTTCTGGAGGTAAACCTTAAGTAAAACCTTGCCAAATAAAGCCTTCCTTTTTTTAACCCAAAATGTTTACGCAGCTTCATTAATAAAAAGTACAAACCACATACTCCTCTCATCATTGCACATAGCTTCTACCCCGACTATGTACATATTTCCTGCCCGCACAAAAATTGTTGCTAGAACCCTTGGGCTTTTCATCTTGTTATCTCTCTCTGTTGCATTGGGCTATTCTCACTCGTAGTCCAACTTGTGTGTTCATGTTCTCTTATTCACTCAATTTTGCTTACAACTTTGTTTTTCTCCTTGTAGCTGCTCCAACAACTCCTCTTTGCTTTTTTTTTTCTTTGCTCCTGACATTGCACTTATTTGTATAACGATCTACGTTCAAGCTTCAATTCCAGCTCATTTCTTGTGCCATAGCCTTTTTCAATTGAGACACCTTTTCACCTTGCTCCACTTGAGTGGCTTCCGTATCGCTTCTTGGGCATTTCCCTAATTCTTTGCCCCCTTCATCGGTGCTTGCTAGCACTGGCATTGATGATTTCATCTTGTGCTTCATCTCTATTTGGGCTTCTTTACCATTGATAATGCCCTACATTTTAGGGGCTGGTATATTTGACCTGATTTCTACTAGTTTGTGTTTATTATCATGTGGCCTTGTGCCACAATCCTATTGTGGTTGTTGATGGTGCATCCATTGGCCACACTTTGTTGTCTTTTGTTCTGACAAATGCTGTTGGTCCATCAGCTTCTACTATTCTACTAAAATATGTTGCAACTACTACTCCTGTCAAACGTACTGCTCCCAATTTTTCTTTCATTGATGTTGTTAGAGGGAAATGTTCATTGTAGTCAAGATCATTTTTCAGAGGAATGTGAGACTTGTAAGTATTTGGCTAAAATTTATCAAGACTTAAATAATAATTTATATGTACTTAGTAAAGACTCTGATTAAAGAAAGTTATTTTTTTAATTATATATGTTTGTATATTTTTTTTGTAAATTAGTGTAGGAATTTTATATTTTTGAATTACATACTATGGGCGCTACTGGACATTTTAGGGGTCTTATGGTTATTACAATGACAATTGATATTTATATGTTTAGCCAAGACTAAAGAGATGAGCACATATTATTTCACAAAAATTTTCAATTTTGTTGAGGGTAGAAAATATGGATTGTATACACTTTTAACAATGCCATATAAACCCTAGGAGGATGCTAGTATGAATTTTGCATTAGATTTATTATGGACATTGAGGAAGCATGATTAAGTTTTTGTATGTTGACCTGTATCTAATAAAATATATATATATATACTATATATAATATCGTACTGAACAGCGCACTAGTCGCTGGATCAATCGCACGTCGAGACCATGCCGACATGCTTCTCCCCACGATCTCCTCGCGTCGTTAAAAAATCGAAGGAAGGGAAGTCTTCGACTGCTCTCTCTCCCTCTTCCTTTGGCATGCTCCTTCGCTCCCTCGTAGCTGTTCGACTCTGCACCTTCGAGACTTTCTCTACCTGTTGGAGCGGAAGTTCCGACATTTGATCGGAAGCAACAGACGAGAGCTCGCTCGCTGTGGAGGTAACTTTCTTCCTCTCGCATCGCTTCTTCGACTCCTTCGTGGTTATTCGACTCTGCCCCGTCGACGACTTGCCCTTTCTGTCGGGTCGAAAGTCACGCCATTTTGATTGCAATCAGGAGGGAGCTCCGCTGTGAAGGTTCTTCTCTCCATTCATGTGCTTCTCTGGCCCTTCTGTAGCGCTTGACTTCACTCTTATTCAACGTTCCCTTCCGGTTGGATCGGAAGTTACGACCTTTTGATTGGAACCAACGACTTGGAGCTCGCTTGTGTGGCCTCTCGCCTCCTTCGTCGTCGTTCGATTTCACACACTTCGACGACTTTCCCTTCTTGTTTGATCGGGAGGAACAACAGGAGCTCACTGCCGTGAAGGTAACTTGCTCCTTTTTTCGCTCTCCTCATGTCGGCCAAATCCGTATATGTGTCGAACAAATGAGAGGAAGGAGAGAGGAGTTTAAATTAATTTTGATTAAGATTAATTTTAATTAATCATAATCAATTTTAATTATAATTATTTTAATTTGTTATATTTTATAATGAATTATATTTAACTTTAATTAAATAATTAATAATGAATTAATTATAATTTTTTTAATTAAAGTCAATTTTAATTAATTATAATTCATAAATGTTAATTACAATTAATTATTATTAATTAATTTTAATTAACTAAAGTTAATTAATATACATTAGTTATAATTAACTGAGGTTAATTATAATTAATTATTTTAATTGATTGTAATAATTATAATTAATTATTTTAATTAATTATAAAAAAAGATAATTAATTATTGATTATGATTAACTAAAATTAGTCTTAATTATAATTAATAAATAAAATAATAATAAAAATACATAAAAACTCTCTTACCTCGGCATGCTTAACGCACTGGTCAACCACCTATTCACGCTTTTCTTAGCGTGGTTGGAGGAAACCCGATGCAACACACTCAACGAGGTAGGTAAACATCTCTCGGTTCCAAAATTCTGTTCTCGGCGTTCGTGTCGAGCCGTCAAATCACCTATAAACGCTTTTCTCTGGCGTGGTGGGAAGGGAGTCCAGTGCGACACTTACGGCGAGGCCGGTAGGCCCTATGCACGCTCTTGTAACGTGGTGGGGACAATCCTAAGTACCCGTACGCGGCTCTGTACCTGCGGGGAAACAACTGTTTTTCTTTTGAAATAGGTACCGAAGACCCATACATGCCTTTCTCTAGCGCAGTGGGATTGAAGTTTTCACGGCCGCGGTATCTAAAGACACATACCGTACACGCTTTTATCTAGCATGGCGGGAGGCCCAGTTTTTCGTAATTACCCCTAAACTTGGGAGACGCCGGGAGGCTATCAAAATTTCGGGTGAACGTAAGATTATACTTGGACTTGACTGAATAAAGGACTTGAACTTGCACACTAAACTTGTGGATATTTGAACAAAAAATAACTTGTACTTGGACTTCTAGACAAGGTACAAATGTCTAATAATAAAGATTTTGGAACCTAAGTAAAATGAAATTGGAATGAGAATGAAGTGAATTGGAACTTGACTTGAATATTTGAACTCAAGCAAAGATTTGAGTTGGACCATAGGGGACTCGAATGAATGGAAAAGGCTCACTTCTAGCCTGAACTATACTTGGACTCAAACTTGAATTAGATTTTGAACTCAAATGAAACAAAATTAAACATTAATTCAAACTTGAATTGAGCAAAAACCTAACTCAAATTTAAATAAAGCAGCGAGATTTGAGCCAAGCGCATGGGAACTTGAAGACATTGAACTTGAACCATACAATATCAAGTGGGTTTTGACAATGAACTATGCTTAATTTGAATTGAATGATCCATAAGAATTGAAGTCAAACTATAACACAAGGAATTCAAATGAATCATAAGATATTTGAACTCAAATGAACAAATTATATAGAACCAGTCTCATGACATTATGAAGCTGGAACCAAGCATGAAGGAGCTCAATATCATGATTAAAATGAAGTTATGAGTGGTGAGATAGCAACTCCTAATTAAGTGCAAGAGGTACACACTAGACATAATGATAAATCCTCATGAATCAACTAATAATTCAATGATCAATATGCAAAGTGAACATACAAGAATCCTTAATAAATAAAGGATCTCAGGGACAATCTGTTTGTAAGTAAAGATCAGAATGAGAGGTATGGTGGCAAGCTCACAAACAATAGCATAAGGTCTACATCCTTCTGAGTTTGCTGACCAAAGTGATGGCAGAAAGCCCACAATACGCACAACACATCGTCTACAATAGTCTACCTACGAGCGACAATTGCTACAAGAACTAGAGGAGGCACAAGAAAATACATCAAATCTCAATAAGCTATGGTGATTAGCATTCAATAATTGCATAAATATGCTCAGAGTCAATATGTTGAGAGAGATAGATGATAGATGCGAGCTCCTACGAGTCAACGTAAGGAATCTCTCCCATATGCAAAATACTTACGAATTGTCTTAGCAAGGATACCATAGCATCTCTACAGCTAACAACCATGCAATGGAAGACAAATATAGTCAAATGGCATGCAGCTAAGGATGCAATATCCCTACAGTTGAGGTTGGTTCACTTGTAGACAAATATAACCATTCCTTGTGGGCTTCGACGACCACTGAAATTACTTGTGGATAACAATAGTGGATACTTAGTAAGTGAAGTAAATCCTCTATGGACACAAGTACATACGTTCTCCGCTAGCAAAGATATAAGGCTACGAAAAATCAAAATTCCTACGAGCCGTCATATGAAGTATTTCATGTATACGAAATGCCATTTACGAGCAAATATATAAGACATCTAATTGCTATCTTCATTCATGGGCAAAAGCAGAAGATTCGTTAGCACACTACAATATACCTGCATAAGTCATGCAAGTAGTACACGACATTCTACTTGTACAAAGCAGTAAACAACTCAATCCAGAAGCTGCTACACTATGTCACCGGATCCGCAACACTCGTTTTAGCGGATAGAAGGTGTATATAAGCTCTCAAATGTAATGTTGTGTGCATACAAATAACAGTTACTTGCACAACTAAAATATT